CGAAATCCTTGAGTAAAACTGGTTCTACCACCTTGCCTATTACTTGAAAAGAATCATCAATTGGAACAGCCAAGAAAAAACTAAGTCGACTAATATGTATGTCTATCCTATCCGACTATTTCGAATTTTTCGAAACGTTCCGAAATTCTTATATTGAAAAATTACCGAAAATTTCACCCAAAATTGAAAATCAACTAAAAATTGCAAAATACATATCAATTGACTCAGTTTTGGATCCTGATTCCGAATATGATATTTTTACTGTATAAAAGTTGAGTTCTGATCCAGAAAATTGAGAATTACGGTCAGAATTCCGAGTTTTTCGCCTCTGATTTTCTCAGCAACGGAACGAAATTTTAAAAAAGCAATGTGTAGTTTTGTGCATATGAAGACACGGTCAAATCAGAAAACTAAAGTCATATTCGTGATCAGCAGATTCCGCTGAATCAGAATATATGTGTTTAAAAGAAATCTAAGAGGTCACGGAATCGTTGAATTACGTGCGTCTTACTACTGCTGCTAAAAATTGAAAGAAACTTGAAGAACTAGTTGACAGTTTCTTTGTTTATCGCTCTGCTCGTTGACCCTCTTTCTCGCTGTTAATTCTCTATGAAAGTCTAAGACAATTCTTACAGTTCCCTTTAGTCACGCAAAAATAAAACGAGATAGATAAAACGAAGAAGGACTGCTAAAAAACGAGGCCTTCCGTTCGTCGAATGAATAGTGAAGGCATAAATGTTTTTCTAACTGAAATTTATTCAATAAATCTTTAAGAATAAATTAAGATTTTAATTAGCTTTCGTTTGCTGTATCGAATTGATGTGTCGAGTCAAGGGATCCTACAACTTCTGATCAACTACATTTCATCGGCATGAGTATATAGAGAAGACGAATGTGATTTTGCAAAATATCACTATGTTTTCGAGAATTTATCATGACCCTACGTTAAGCAGTGGAAATCGACTAACTGGAGAGCTCCTCCGTCTGAAGAAGACGGTTATTTCAGAAAGTGAGTATTATTTAGCTAAACCAATAGGTTCAAGGCCGGCTAGGTTATATGGCCTGCCTAAAATTCATTAAAACGATATGGCATTCAGGCCCATTTTATCAGCCAAAAAAACAGTGAATTACGGGCTAGGAAGTGTTTTGGCTCAAAGCTTAGCGTATCTACGAGGTACACATGATCCATATGAGGTACATGATACCTTCGGTTTGAATTATGGTACTTTCGTCACATCACACTATTGTCATTATTACTGCTCGGCAATTTTCGTCATACACACCGAAAATTTCGTTGCATGAGGCAAATTTTCGAGAAGTTTACGTAATATATTTGAAGAACGTTAAATGCAGTACTTCCTTAGCAAGTAGTTACAAAGTAAGTTCATAAGTTTTGAACAATAAATCTTTGTTCACCGTAAGTTCTTCCTAGGGAAGTACGGAAACACTTACAATTTATGTAGAAGTGATCTTTCTCTGATTACTTCTGTATATATCTTGATGAACACTATTTTTATTGTCGCAATACATAATCTCTTTCACGTATATGTAACCCGTCTTTGACCGCCATCAGAAGCTCGTCAGTATCGGTCCATGCTGCTCCGGCTAGCCCATGGACTTTCCGCCTTCGTGGGTTTACAGTCGGAGCAATAGTGACTTTTCTCAAAACATATGTGAAACTGTGAGATGAAATTTCATTACACATGTCTAGTTATGGCATTTAGATGCTAAATTTTTCTTTGCAACAATCTACAGAAAGTCTCTAACCCGGCGAATTTTGACATCCAGTTGAAAACTATTTTCAATTAGTAATTTATACTTTGGGCTTTCTGCAAAGAGGAATGTCTCACATAGTAAATCGGGCTATTTTTCATCGCGATGGTTTGGGAAGAAACGGTTTAGATACAAGTAGTCGGAAATTATTCGTTTTCACAAAGCTTTTCCGTTCTGCTTTATGAATATACTTTTTCTCTCAATGTCTCTTTTCTGCGAGTGTTGTTCAGGCAGAAAGAGAACGAAACAGAAAATAGTGTTAGCTTATAGAAATGCTGTATAACGAGATAATAATTTTATCGTCGAAACAGAATACTTATAACGTTACCCCCCTCGAGCTGAGAAAAACGAAAAAATTCACCCAAAAAATATATACAGAAAAGCATGAAATTAATAAGTAATAGGAAAGAACTAATAAAATTAGGCATGAGGACGGGAAACAATAACTACAAAACAAATTTGCCTACTATGGTTTCACATATATACGTTGATTATTATCAGCCAGGAGTGAAATTGATATGCCGATGATTCGTTTATCGAAACCGTGTCTTTAACTATCAAATTCGACAATAACTCATCTAATGCTAGCGCACCTTGTGGCTTTAATCCGATCGTAAACGAACACGCTTTTGAGATAACTGAGCATTGAAGTTTCCCTTGTTAGTTGACATAAAAAGTCTTTTGTTGTGAGGTCACTAAATTTTTCATTACCTTGTCGACTATATAAACCGAGATTATCATATTCTCCATGGAATTCGAACACATGATTGCCCAACATATGAATATATATAGTGTCAGCATCGGTTCCAAATAAATTCTTGTATCTTTCGCACCAGTCAATTGATTGTTTCTTAACATGTTGATATATATATCATTAATATTATACAAATTCATAATATCAAAAAAGTCATCGTATAATTTTTTAATGAAGAAAGCTTTGTGATTATCCTTCATAATGGAATAAAAGGTAAATAAGATGTTGATTACGTTCAGCTAATGTAGTAGTTGTACTTATCAACAATACTATTAATAAACATAATAAAGTAACAGCAGTAAGTTTCATTTCATTGAAATACCTATAATTAAATTAAAACCAAATACGTCGACGTTTCGAACTTTAAAAGTTCATTTTGAATAACAAATACAAAAACGCCTCACTAGCTGGTTGAATTTGCCAGTTATGATGCATGTAGAGAAAATTTTTTTACAACAAACATTCGATTTTCTCATTTTTATCTTATTTTGCTCGTCCAAGCTAACGTTAGAAGATAAATAACGAAAGAAAATACTAGACACAACTAAACAGTTAGACAGTGAACTAAACGTTAAAAATATAGCAGGCATAGAAATGAAGACATCAAATTCAATCGAGATACATAGTACTATCTTTCGCTGCCTTATCACTCTTAATTAAGGTGATTTTTAAGGTTAAAAGGATCGGAAACCAACTTCAAAGAAAGGCACTCTGGAGAATAATTCATTATTTCTTCAATTTTTTTCGGTGCTTCGACATGCACCGATGTCAAATTCATAATCTGCGTATGATTCCCCGTATTAAACTGACTCTAGAAATATTATTTAGAGTCGGATTCTATATCATATGGCCAAAGCAAAAATTCATAATCAACTAATTTTGCCACAAATTTTGCAAACCTGTTTAGCTTGTCTGTTAACGGACGAAGCCGTGATTTAAACCGCATTCGATTCGTCTTTACACGGACAAAAAAGTACACAGACCTTTTCTTAAAATTTCTTTCCACTGCTGATAAAATTCATTTTATCTGAATAAGACGCGAAAAATTTGCAATTTTTTGAAAAATTTCTTCTTTTCTGGTGTCGACATAATCTATGTGATTATAAAATCACGTAGATTATGTCGACACCAGAAAAGAAATCAAAGTAGAATTATAAAGAACCCGCTGTCGGATTCGCCGAAAAATTTTTGCATATAGCGCCCAATTTTTACCTAATTTGATGCACCAATGCAGAAGTACCTAATTTTCTAATGGTTTCCCAAGAACGGCTCGATCCAAAATTATGAAACTTTCAGAATAGATAGGTCTCGACTAGCAGACCAAAACTTATCCTAAACCCAAAATTCCCGAATACTTACTTCTGGAAGGGGATGCAAGCGCCAAAAATGACGTGAAGTTCTCCTCCCCCGCAAACATCCAGAATTCATTTCTTATGGATGAATGTTTTTTTGTAACAACTAACCCACAGCTGAGTGTATATATTTTTTTTCTTTGAAAAATATTGTTTCCTTCGCTTATGAGAACCAAAATACTGGAAGCCCTGCAAGAAAACGTGTTACAACTTAGGACAAATTTTGTAAAGTCTGGAAAAAATTACCCGAACAATATTTTAAAAAGAGAAAAAAATTATACACCCCCATTTAGTCCTAGTTGTCACAAAAAAATTGCAGCTTGTCCGGTCGAAGCGTCTGGAAGAAAAAGCGCAAAAACTTCGATTTTTTCTTCAAAAATCAATTTCGGGAACAACGTAAAATAACACTGAACGCCGTTTATTTGATATTTCGATTGTTTTATTTTTTTACATATAATTATCAACAATTACACTTGCAAAGCGGTTAGGCGGATACATCGTTGACCCACATAACACATTCTGACGATGAAAGAACTGGTTTAGTACCGATAATTTGCTACATCGAAAAGCTGTGGAACTTGATTTTTGAGATGGGGGTCCCTAAACTCCAAGTTTTTGAGGATCTAAACAACAATGAAAACTTGACGTTTATACGGCATTCGATAGAAGACACTTGAATGTCTCTTTGGAGCCAAAATAATCGAAATCGAAAAAGTGAGTTTTCGGGGTCGGGGAAAGCGGGATACCCTTAAAACAGGTGATAAAGATTAAAATTTTAGTGTTGCTTGACGGAAGTTTTCAAAGGCAACAGCGCTACATGTCTTTGAATTGATTGTGATCCGTCAATTTTGAAGCGGAATGAATAGGCACAATTAATCCATCAATAGTCTTGTTTTTTCTATAATCAAATGGGAAAAATGATAATAAACTTCTTTTCTTACCGTTTAATAAAGAAATCATTTATTGTGATGGAAATAAAAAAAAAACTTTACCATTTTAGAGATATTTCAGACTATAAGATTTAAAATATATTAACAAAAATAATTTCAGAGTTATATACCATTGAGATTGAAATAAAATCTGCTTTTTCAAAAATATCATCATGTACTTTCAAAAGTAGGTTAAGCAATATCCTTGAATAACTTTTTAACATTTATCTTATAAATATTCTTTAATGGATATGTTCCACCATCGAGATATTGCTGAGCAGCTGATTCGAAAATAATAAAAAGATCATTTGAATTAGGATGATATGAAAGGCCTTCGGATAATGGTGTTAATGTAATTGTTTTTAGTTGTTTACCATTATAACCTTTATTGGCTATTATTAATTTACTGTCAGATGCACGACCGTATGATTGGCTAAACACACATTTATCATTAATAATTACCATGCCCTGAATTTTAACTGGAATATTCCATGTATAAGTCGCTGATAATCGAGAGTTATTTAATGTGTCATTAATATTTAATTTATAACCAACTAATTTGGGTTGTTGTTTTTCATCTTTACCATCAACAAAATCACCGGCCCATAAAATATTATCTGTTAGATCAAAATAAGCGAAACTTCCTTGTGTATCAATACTAAATTGATTTACAAATTTAATCGTTGAGTTATCACTAGCAGCGATAATAGCACTAATTTCGATTTGATATAATGATTTATTGGACGATATAAACACATTAGTTTTAGAAACAGCTATACCGCCAGCATGACCAGTATAGACGTCACCATTTTTCTTAGCTAATAATATTCGTTTAATGAAAGTCTTTGTGATAGAATCAATAACAGCAATAGAACTCGCAGTTTTTTTATCATCGTTATAATTCGTTACTAACAACCATTTTTTTTCTGGTATGTAACCAAGTGCTTGCGGTACCCAACCCTGTGATAAATCAGGAATAAGAGCATCTTCAGTAGATAAATCGAAAAATGTTTTATATTTTGAACTGAAGAGTAAAGAAATACTAGTACCCATAAGACGGAACAATAAAAGTATTAGAAACTTAGTCTTACACATTTTGAACGGATATTTTAAATACAATCGTTTTGACTGAGAAGGCGAGAGTCACGCTTCTGCTCCAAACGTGTTACATATATATTTACTAAAAGGGAAAAGGATTGCATGTATGCATACAGCAAGAACATAAAATTAAAAAAATATGTAGTGGAAGGAATATGATCTGCTAAAGGCTTTATCAAATTCCATTTAATCTCTCAATAAATAGATTTGATATATCACTTTATTAGCCTAAACACCGGTGTAGAAAGCAAAAAGAGATTATTTTTCGTTGCTGTTAATTTTCACTATTACTGGAACTTACTTTTACTACGACTTTTAGCAGTGGGCTTTTCATTTTTACTCACCGGTTTGCGTTCTTGTACATATCTTTCACGTGTCATGTTCTTATTCAGCTTTTTTCCCATATACTGAAAATACTGATGTCGAAAATAATTTTTTAACAGTTTCAATTAGCATTTTTCATATTGCAGGAAGCATTTTTGAGACTCGGGCCTGGAATAGGAAATACAGTAAATTTAATTTTCGAAAATTATGTGACGAAACCGAGGTTCTAGAAGCTGACCTTCAGGGTGGAAAATGGTTTTTTTTGTTACTGACCTTGAAGATTGAGTTGAATGAAGTTGGGCCGGATTTAAATTAGACCGGATCAAAATTAGGAAATTAAATTTGACATCTTTCTGTCTCTAGACTCAACTTGGGAAAACACTTCCAGTTCGATATCACGGTTAAAACACAAAAAACCATTTTCTACCCTGAAGGTCAGCTTCTAGTAACTCGGTTTCGGCACATAATTTAAAGAAATAGCCCTGTACAACAGACACTGTCTTTTCGTCTCGTCTGAAATGATAAGAAAAACGTCAATGTCTACAACGTATGTATATAAGAAAAAAAGATGGCGTCGTCGATAGAAGAGAAAGTAAAAGTGAAATATATTCGTCTGCTTTTCTATCGACAAAAAATTAAAAATACTTTGAGAGCTTGACAAACTGGAAAAACGTTCCTTCCCGAAAAATGCCTACATTCTTTCTACATTTCAGTTTGAAGCCTCGAAAACTTTTTGATGATATCTGTTTTGAAAGTTTCCGTTGATTTTCATTTTCTGGTGAAAATCAACGAATTCGAAAAAAACAAAAGTGGTCGGATAAGATAAACAGGTATATAGCGCTCAACTATGTGTCTCTAGGATACAGAAATCGTCAGTTAGGAATGGATGGTTTAAGTTTTATAGCAAAACCAAAATGAAAGTATAAGGTGACATATAGCCAAAAGCTCACAGAAAAAACACGTATTTTTCACTTTTCTCTGTGATCAATTTTTCCCTTTTTTTCACCAAATTCTGCACCTTCCCGTGCTATCTTTCGGTTATTCTGAAGTTGGGTTTGAGTCAAGTCTGCTGAGTGCAAAATCCCTAGGAAAAGTGACGGGACATTTTTGGTCTTTGACTCAACTGTTGTTGATTGGAATAATCTCCCAGAGTCAGTTATTCGTCTTTTTTCTTTAATGTCTTTCACATTGATTTAATATTATTTGGCCAAAACTCAATCTATAGCAATAGTTATTTTTTTTGTGAACAACTATAATTAGCAATATCTCAAAAAGCTGTCCGAACGTTTCAATTCTTTTGACAAAAATAAAATGAAATGCATATATATCTATATCAGCGATATCAGATTATATCATACAATGTGACAGGAAACGTTTGATCGTGACTGGATCTCCAAAGATAGACAAATTATATGGACTAAGACTAAAACTGCTTTATTCACGAAAAGGGAGTCATCAAAAGTCACCGATCTGTAATAACAATGACTCAAGCCAAACAACGCCAAAAGAGTCATAAAAAAGAACAAAATAAAGAAAACCACTAAGGTCAGAACTAGAAGCTGGAAAAAAATATTTTAAAAAATCAACAAACAAGAACAAATATAAGTTCTTAACTGACAAACGTTTCACTGAAAGAGATATTGAAGTAAAACTGTTGTGAAAGACATTACAGAAAAAAGACGAATAACTGACCCTGGGAGATTATTCCAATCAACAATAGTTGAGTCAAAGACCAAAAATGTCCCGTCACTTTTCCTAGGGATTTTGCACTCAGCAGACTTGACTCAAACCCAACTTCAGAATAACCGAAAGATAGCACGAGAAGGTGCAGAATTTGGTGAAAAAAAGGGAAAAATTGATCACAGAGAAAAGTGAAAAATACGTGTTTTTTCTGCGATTTTTCGGCTATATGTCACCTTATACTTTCATTTTGGTTTTGCTATAAAACTGAGACCATCAATTCCTAACTGACGATTTTTATATCCTAGAGACACATAGTCGAGCGCTATATATGGTAAAAGTTTCTTATTAAAGGAGAAAACTCAATTTCACTAATGTCCCACCATTTTTTTGTCCGGGTATATTTATTTCACAGTATTTTGGCTCTAAAAACGTCAAACCTTAATGAAAAGTAAACATTTTATACAGAAATCGAAAGCATTCGAGAAGGCGGGTTCAGTTGTACACTTAGAAATTTCACTTGACTTGAGGTTTTCTCCGCATATGCTCATCCATTGTCCCTTTTATTATAATATGAATTATTAATGATAATTTAGTCTCTCAGATCGTCTACCTTCCGACGTACAATTCTCCCATACGTAAATTCCTTCAGTCAAATTTTGGTTAAAAGGTTTTTGCTATATTTAGTTCGTTCTCTGCAAACAAGCTTAATTTCCAGGTTAACTTACCATTTTGCAGTAAAAATTACCTGCGCGTTCAAGTAATTCGAAAGTTGTTTTAAACATATGAGATAACTAATGTTAATTACTCCGGCGTCGAGACACTGTTAGCAAAGAAGCAATTGTGTTTCTATGAATAACAAAGTTTTTTGTCAGTTACTTACTAAAAAAGCTTTTTGCCTTTAATTTTTTAATAAAAACAAAAAAGAATCTCCACAAATACCCACAAAGGATTTCTGAAATTCCATAGAGTATTCCTTTAGCTAATGCTCCCACCCCCACTAGAGATGGCGCCCTTACCTTACCCTGCAGGGTAGCGTAGGGCCAGGGCTCAAAAATTTTTCACAGAGTCGGGCAAGGGCTCCATAAACACTTACCTTGTACATCTCTACCCGCCCACTCCTCCAAAACGTGGTAACATTAAAGCTAGTACTCCCCATATGTATTTCGTGTTTGCTGTATTGAAAATTTTGAGTAAGATTGTGGTGCTCTTTAATGCCAAAATGAAAGAATAAACAATAATCAAATTAGAAGAAGCACACAAACAAGTTTTCTTAACATTTTTAATATTCTTAAAGTGAAAATTTATCAAAAAGGGTTAAGACTAAATCAAAAGAAGCGTTGGATCACATCGTGAAAAGAAGTAGTATTTCCGTTTAAGGGCGCGCCATCTTTCCCTGGTTTCCCTAGAACGGCTCGACCCAAATTTCTGAAACTGTCAGGATAGATAGATCTCGACTAGTAGACCAAAACTTATCCTAAACTCAGAATTTCCGAATACTTACTTCTGGAAGAAATAGGGGATGCAAGCGCCAAAAATGACGTGCAGCTCCCCTCCCCCCAAGAAATATTGCTTGGTTGCCTGCTATGTCCCTTGTTGTGCTCATGCAGAGACGTGGACTGACGAGGAGACACCAGGCTATCGCGGTTTATGGCAGTAAATCAGCAACGAAATCTTATCTTCCTTTTGCATTTAGTGATAAATTGCGTTTTGAATTAGTGAGAGCTGTGGCTGATCAAGCGAAAAGATTTGACTTACCTAATAGATGGATTCCTGGTTTTCAAATTATTGCTACTCCGACGAAACCGAAAAGAGCTAGTTCTGTATGTGTTTTAATGTAATATTGTTGATTGCTCACTAATTATGTTGTAAAGTTCAAAGTGATTATTAGGCTAATATTTATTGATGAGCTCTTATCTCATGTATATTAAAAAATGGTAGTAGCATCTTATTTTACATTAGTTTTTTTTCGCGATAATAGACACAGAAAAAAACAAAAGAAATTTAGTAATCATTATATTTAATGATAATGATGAAACAAAATATATCTTCTGTTACACTAAAAACTCAAGAATATTTTCTTTCTTTCGCTCGTTCAGACATCTCTTTCCTAAGTTGTTTGGTAAAAGAACCTAGAAGAAGAAGTAGAAACATTTTTATCACTGAGAAAAAAGATAATTTCTTCTTCCTTTGACTGCAGTACAGTCAAATTAAGGCGCGCGTAATTCAGTTTCATACGCTATTTTATTTTCGATCGAACATCACATCACTCAAAAGAGGAGGATGAGCAGAACAAGAACAACTTGGCTTCAGCCTTCCGAGCCGAAGTTCTCTGTTCAAAAAATTGAAAATACTTTGAGAGCTTTAAAAACGGGAAAATCGTCGCTCCCCGTAAGTATCAAACCAGCCCACTGAACCTGCAGAATACAAAAAAGCTTTTATTCCTTCCTTTTTGATTACTTCCCAAAACCAAGATGATACTTTTGTTTGTCAGATAAAATTGCACTGAGCGGACTATACATTAGTGATGCACGAGCCAGGTGGAGGAAAGCTATTGATAGACATAGTGGCCTGTTGTGACTATCATAGTATTAGTTCACTGCCGTTTACGAAAACTAAAAGGAGTAGAAAATTTATTATTCTACAAGCAATTTATCTTGGTAGCAACAAAAATTTCGTGTAGGAAAAAACCAACTTTTTCTTTCTATTTCTTTCATCACAAGTATTTACCGTAGAAGGCTTTCAAGTGGTATTTTTAAGATGCAGAATAGTAAGAAGAAAAGGAAGGTTAAATCAACGTACATATAATGTTGGTTTTTTCCGACCGAAGGAGGTTGAAAAAACCTAGTCTATTGCAAAAACTCGTAGTCGGATGAAAGTGAAAAGTCAGAATTTCGGACAATTTTTCGCTTATATTGCATGTTTCACTTAGATGTAATCATGATAAAAGT